TGCACACACTGACACACGCACACCAACACACACCACACACAGACACACAGACACACAAACACAGACACACACAGACACAGACACAGACACAAAGACACACACACACAAACACAGACAGACACAGACACACACAGACACACACACACACACGCGCGCACACACACACGCACACACACACGCACACAAACACACACACACACGTACACACATACACACGCACACACGTACTCACAACTACACACAAACGCACGCACAACCACACACATACACACACAAGCACACACCACAGACAAACACACAAGTACACCAACACACAAACACACAAACACACACACAATCAAACAACACGCACAACCACGCAACCACAAACACACAACCACTAACCCACACGCACACAAATACACATACACACAAACACACAAACACACGAACACACAAACACATAAACACACACAACACACACACACCCATAAACACACACAAACAAACGGACACACACGCACACAAACGCACACACACACACACACACGCGCACACACTCACACACGCACAGACACGCGCACACATACACACATGGACACGCACACGCACACACATACACTTACACACACCTACACACACTTACACACACTTACACACACTTACTTACACACTTACTTACACACACTTACACACACACTTACACACACGCACGTGCTGTCATGTGCTGTCATGTGCACACGCGCTGTGTTTTGCTGTCATGTGCTGCCACACGCACGCACACGCGCGGCCGTGCTGCGCTGTGCATGTGATGTGATGTGGAACGCGCACGCACGCGGACGGCCCCCCGTGCCGTGCTGCGCTGTGATGCGTCTGTGTATGCGTACTCGCGGCAAGAATGTGGCTCTCCTCCTGCCTTTCCTCCCCTCACCTTGTTTCGCCCCCCCTTTCCATTTCTCCCCCCCTCTTCCCCTGCCTCCCCTCCTTTCCGTCCTTTTCCCTCTCTCCCTCTCCCTCCCCCTTCCTTCCTCTTTCACCTCTGGCCTGTCCCCCTCCTCTCCTCCCTCCCCCTTCCTCCCCTCCCTCCCCCCCCTCCCTTTCAATAGGATGGCATGGCCGTGGCTGCCGGGCTGCGCCTCTTCGTGGCCCCTCCCCCCTCCTCCCCTTTTATACGCGCGCGCGCGTGTGGCTCAAACGCGTTCTCTCACCCACCCGCGTTCCCACAAACAACTGTAAGCCATGTGCGGAGTCGCGCGGTGCAGGTGCCGCCCCATCGCGCCACCTGGAACGGGCTGGTCCACCCACCAAAACCAACAGCGGCAACCACCAAGGTGGCGTGTGTTGCTCGCAAGTCGTGCGAGCGTCGGTGTGCCCACTGCCGTGAAAAAGGGGCTGGTCCTGGCGGATGGGTGCAACAAGAGCAGCGTGCGGTGTGTGTTGCTTGGCGTTCGGTGGATGCACAATGGACCGTGCGCCACCCACGTGACTCCCCCTCATCCACTGCAGCCGGCATTGCTTGCCGTGGCGTGCAGCCTGGTGCGAGACGGTGCGAGGACACGTTGTCTCCGCTATGGGCGGGCAACGATCGAAACACGCACACACAAATACACCCGCACCATACCACAGCACACGGCACCACACCACATCGCATCACACCGCACCACACCACACCACCACACCCCATCCTTGTTTCTTATTATTATATACCCCCACCTACCTCGTATTCCGGCCGATAGCAACCCAATCCAGGACCTCCCATCCGGACGGTAAAAAAAACAATACAAAGTGGCCGTTGTTCTTCTTAACATCGTCTTTCTTGTCGTCGACGATGCGAAAAGTGTGGCAGGAATGGGACGCGGCGCACATCGCGCGCGGGAGTCAATCTGGGCCCGCCCACCCTGACTGTAAAACATCAATACCAAGTCCTCGCTTTTTCCTCTCAGCATGGCCTGCCTTGTCGCCGACGGTGCGAAATGTGTGGCAGGAGTGGAACGCGGCGCACATCGCGCGCGGACGTCCATGCGGGCTGCGGGCCCTCCCATCCTGACTATTGCTACTAGTAGCATTAGTACGACTCCTACTACTACTACTACTACTATTACTACTACGACTACTACTACTACTACTGCTACTACTACTCCTGCTACTACTTGTTCTGCAAATTGTACTACACATGGCATTACTACGAATCTAGCAGTGGAACAATTATTACTAGTACTTTTACTTCACAAGTGCTACTACTCTGTACTACTAATCGTACGAGTACTTGTGCTACCTGTAGTACTTCTGCTTATACTACTCGTATTAGTACTCGTATTACTAGTGCTACTGCCTAATCGTATCCCCACTCTACTACTACTACTACTACTACTACTACTACTGCTACTACTGCTACTGCTGCTACTACTACTACTACTACTACTACTACTACTACTACTAGTACCACTACCACTACCACTACCACTACTAGTACTCGTACTACTAGTACTAGTACTAGTACTAGTACTAGTACTAGTACTACTACTACTACTACTACTACAACTACTACTACTACTACAGTTACTACTACTACTACTACAACAACTACTACTACTACTACTACTACTACTACTTCTACTACCACTACGCGCCAGCACCCAATTGCGCCAGCATTGTTTTTTATGTTGTGGGGGGGGCGGAACGTGTCCGTTGTTCCTTTCAGCATGGCCAGTCTTGTCGTCGACGATGCGAAATGCGTGGCGGGAATGGGACGCGGCGCACATCCCGCGCGGACGTCAATGCGGTGTCCTGGGGTATCCTCCACTCGCACCTAAATGCCCGCGCAACCCCCAGTTGTGCCATCACTGTTTCTTATGTTGTGGGAGGGCGGGTGGGAATGGGCATGCCGTGCTTGACTCGCTCGGGCTGGCTAGCTTGACCCCACCCACACCCACGCCCACCCACACCCACCCACACAAACACACAACACACACACAACCACACAACCATACAAACACACAAAGAAACAAACCCACGAACAAACACGCACACACACAAACACACACACAAACACACAACAACTCACAAAAACACGCATCAACACATTCACAAGCACACGCAAACACACAAACACACAAATAGACACACAATCGCGCACACACACACACACAAACACACTTGTTTGCGTCGGCGGCTGGGCAGAAGTCGACTGCTCCGGCGGAAAAGGCAACAGGGGACACGCTGTATGCAAACACACGAGCACACACACGCACACAAAAACACAAACAAGCACACACAAGCACACACAAGCACACAAACACACAAACACACACAAACACACACACACACACAAAACACACACCATACACAAACACAAGACAATCACACACAAACACACGCACAAACACACACAATCACACACAAGCACACACAAACCCACACACAAACACACCCACACAAAAACAATACCACACACAACCACACACAACCACGCAAAGAAACACACACACACAACACACACAACCACACACAAACACACACAAGCACACACACAAACACACTTACACACACTTACACACAAACACACACACACACGCACACGCACACACGCACACGCACCCGCACACGCACACGCACACGCACACGCACACGTTCACGCACACGCACACGCATGCAGACGCAGACGCAGACGCAGACGCAGACGCAGACGCACACGCAGACGCAGACGCACACGCACACGGACACGGACACGCGCACGCGCACGCGCACGCGCACGCGCACGCGCACGCGCACGCGCACGCGCTCGCGCTCGCGCTCGCGCACGCGCACGCGCACACGCACGCACACGCGCACGCGCACGCGCACGCGCACGCGCACGCGCACGCGCACGCGCACGCGAACGCGCACGCGCACGCGCACGCACACGCACACGCACACGCACACGCACACGCACACGCACACGCACGCGCACGCGCACGCGCACGCGCACGCGCACGCGCACATACGCACGCACGCACGCACACGCAGACGAACACACACACACAAACACACTCACAATCATAATCACAAACACAAGCACAAACGCAAACGCAAACGCAAACGCACGCAAGCACACACAAACACAAACACAGACATAAACACAAACACAAACACAAACACAAACACAATCACAATCACAATCACAATCACAAACACAAACACAAGCACAAGCACAAGCACAAACACACACAGACACACAGACAGACAGACAGACAGACAGACAGACAGACAGACAGACAGACAGACAGACAGACAGACAGACAGACATACACACTACACACACTCACACTACACACTCGCACTCGCACACGCACACACACACACGCACACACACACACATACGCACGCGCACACACACGCACGCACGCACGCGCAAACACGCACACACATACACACAAACACACAGACGCACACACTTACACTTACACTTGCACTTACCCTTGCACTTACACTTGCACTTGCACTTGTGCTTACACTTACACTTACACTTGTTGGCGTCGCGGTCAAGCGTGCGGCGGTGCAGTAATCGTCGGGCAGAGAGTGCGCGCGGGGCATACACACACGTACACGCAAGCGGCTCTGTATCATCTGGTGGCGCGCGCGTGCTAGAGGCTTCGCGACCATAAGCGGATTCTCTGGATCGCCATGGCACCGTCTGAATCTCTACCGCCCAAGTAGGTCGAGGGTGGCTCGATTAGCTTTGTCTCATTACTTATCTTCCTCATCCCCCTATCCATTCATCGCTCCTCCCCCCTTCCTCCTCCTCCTCCTCCTCCACCTCCCACCTCCTTGCTGCTGCAGCTGCTCATCCTCCAAGTCCTCCTCCTCCTCCTCCTCCAGCATCTCCTTCTCCTCCACTTCTTCCTCCTCCCTTTCCTGCCCTCCTCCTCCTCCTCATCATCCTTTTCCTCCTTCTTCTCCGCCTCCTCTCCCTTTCCTTCTCCTCCCTCTCCTCTCCTCTCCTCCCCTCTCCTCTCCTCTCCTCTCCTGTCCTCTCCTCTCCTGTCCTCTCCTCTCCTCTTGCCGCCAGCGTCTATCCGACCGTGCGCTGCGACTGCGAGACTTCCATGATGTTGCTGCGTCGCGGGACTTGCTTCGTGCACGCATGTCGGAGCCTAGACCAGTCCTCCGACTTCCGCCGGGGGGCCGGAGGAGGCCGGAAGGGGGGGACCCGCGGGGTCCCAGAGCCCAGGGCTGGCCTCAACCGGCCGGCCCGTCTGCCCACCCTACTTGCAGCCTGGCCGGATCAGCGCGTCACGCTGCTCGCATCCGTGGAACATCGGCTGCCTCTTGAGGCTGACGCACATGTTGCTCATGGTGTTCATCTCCAGCCGGACGCCCGGAAGCGGGCTCAGCACGCGATCCCGCTGCACGGGCTTCTGCCGCAACCACACCCCCGAATGAGGGTCGCGGACGTAGAGGTCCGTGAGGCCCCCGCCCGGGCAGAAGGGCTCTCGCCCGAATGTGGTGGCATGGCTCCAGTGGTTCTGGAACTCCCGCGAGGTGCTCCACTTGGGGTGCTTCGACGTGGCCAGAGACAAATCGGTGTGGCCGAACTTCCTCCCGGTCGGCTTCGACACCCACGCCCCCTTCGGGAAGCGGTCCCGGGAGTGGCCGCTCGCCGAATTCATCGAGAGCCTGAAGTCGTCCACTGTTGACCGCCGGAGGTCTGGCGCGCTTTCCGATCTCCCCAAGAACGGCTCGGAGAAGCTGCTGTACATTGCGCCCACTGCAAGGGCTAACTCGCAGCCTCAATCAAACTGATAATCTTGAGCCAGTCTTGAAAATGGCCTTGGGGACACACGACATGTGACTGAATCGGTCTGAGAAAACAGGATACCTCTGTGTCCTATGGAGGACCACACGATCTCTTTCGCCCTCCCACCCGATCATGGCCCAGAACGTGCCCAGAATAGACGGGGCCGCTCGATACCGCAAGAGCGCCGAAGGCACGCCGAAACAGCGCAGACGTCTCGCGGACCCGCCCTCTGGGGGACCCCTCGCCAATCCATGCCCTCTGGGCCTCAAAGGCCAGCTACACGTCGGTCGGAAGAAGTAAGTAAGCACATGAAGGCGGATCAAGCAAATTGGGTTCAGGCCTTCCCAGAGAATCACAAAACACGGCAACGGCATACCAATTCTTGAAGCAGGAAGGCGCTTGAAATAGATTGGGATCTGGAAACCCAGAAATGCCTACTTTCAACCACCGGCGTGTAAGCCTCCACAGAACCACTGGGGCCACCTGGGACGCCGGCCACCTCTGTCTGCGCCTGGATCTACGACAGGCCTGCGAGGACCCCTCTCCTCCGGCGGTGCCTTGTTCTCTTGACGTCGGCCCTCGGGGATCTCGACTACTTCCCAGAGGCCACGCTCTTCATCCTGACAAGTTCTTGACGGCTGGGCCAGGGAACGGCCCACAGGGGCCGAAAACGACGAAACGCCGGCCGTCGCGATGTCGTGCTGGGACGCTCGGATCTGAGGGACTGCGCACGCTCCCGCTTCTGCCGCAGCTCCAAGATCGCCCGGCCTCCGAACGCTCCCCTTGACTGGTAGGCACCGGCACCGAGGACCCATGGGCATATGCTGGAGGCCTCCTGGGGAGTAGATGGGGTCGGAGGATCGCGCCGCGTCGACAGTGCATCGCTGATATGCAGCGTTCTTTAGCGACGCATTGGCGACGCCGGCGTGGAGAGCATCGGGCTCCGCATCGAGCCGCATCGTCGATGCATCGGCGATGCGGCGCGATCCTCGAGCCCCATCTACTCCGAACCCATATGGGAGGCCTGGACGTGCGGGGGTGCGTTCTGGCCAGGCCCTCGGGAGAGCCCCGCCGTGGCGACGACGGAAGGCTGGGGGGGAGGGAGAGAGAGAGAGAGAGAGAGAGAGAGAGAGAGAAAAAAAAAAAAGAAGGAAAAAAAGGCCGCGCGCGCCCCCTGCCCGAGCCGCGCGGCCTCGGATGGCGCACGCCTGGCGCTCGTGGGAAGGCCGCGGTGCCACACAGGCCCGGCGAGAGCACCCCCGAAGCGGACGGCTGCAAGACGACGCCAGGGTCAGGTCGGGCATGTCCTCCTACAGGCGAATTTTGAAAGAAAAATGGAAAATAGCCAACAAATATTTGAACAGAGTCAAAACTAGTGAAAATCGCCCCCCAACTTTTGTAAAACGACTATTTTTGGGTGTTCTTCATGTAGCGGGACATGCCCGACTTAAGGCCAGGGCTCCGAGATCCGGCGGCGCTGGAGGACGTAGCGGGCGCCGCGGCCGTTCCAGAGCGCTCTGGAACGCTCTGGGAGCGTTCTGGAACGCTCTGGAGCGATTTACGGTCAGGAACTTTTGCTTGGGGTGTCGCGGCGGGGGCCCTGGCGACTTGCGCCGTCCATGGGGTCAGATTAGGCCGTGTCGGGTCCTGGGCCAGCGCGAAACCCTCTTGAGTCTCTCCTGGGCCGTCTAGGAGCCTTCCTGGGCCGTTTTCAGGCCGTCTTGGAGACTTCTTGGGTCATCTTGAGACCCTGTTGGGCTGCTGTGGGGCCACTGTAGACGAGGTTTGAGGAGAGGCTGTACAGCGAAGGCCATATCCGACGCGGTCTTGGCTCAAGGCAACGCTGTCCGATGTGCTAGTTGCACCGCCGTGTGTGACCCTATTGGAATCATAGCATCGGACAAAGGCCACGTCTATCTATGATCCGCCCCTCTATCTCATGGCTTCTCTCTTACCTCTCGTCGTGCTTGCCATCAAGGGATGGGTTGTGGGATACTTCGATACGTCGCCGACGTTATCCTAAGGGTAGGGTTCTCAGCTGATTACCTCATGGTCAAGCCCTGTACCCTTATTTTTCACTTGGTAGCGGAGCTGGCTACACCGGCATGTGGCTGGCTCTTACGTCAAGTGTTATAAACATAACAACTTACCACGGCACAATGGAGTACCCGATTGCGCTGGCTCTCAGCCACTATACTCCCGATACCCTCCAACCAACTAGTAATTTACAATCCTATGCCTCCATCTCCCCACCGCGTGGCCACACGCCGCGCAAAACCCAAACACCGATACCTATCCGCAAACTGACGGCCACGTCAGACCAGGTACTCAGTCGCAATCCAACGGACGCGACAATATCCAATGATGAGCCACCTAACATCATCAGCTACAACATGAACGTGCACGATGCAAGGTCGCCATCTTTTGAACTATTTGGGTATGTCTGGGCATGACCGTGGCATACATGCGAGGAGCAGGAGGACTGGATGAAACACGCCTTCGAGGTCCCTTCTGCTCAACGTCACAAGCGGAAGCATGACTCCACCTCAACAGGCCGCTGCTTTACAGCGCGGTCTGGGCGGATTGGCTAGGACACTAGCCATGAGGGTGCCATTCACCATCATCAACTATGATGTTAGATCACAGGGGAGACGCACCGATGGAGCCACATACATCACGTACCTATTGAGAACTAAATCCGAAAACCTTGAGGACGAGCGACAGCTCACCTCGGGGACAGCCCTCATCGACTTCAGGGTCGATAGAGGTGAACGCATTGACTCAGTACTGTCCCGATTCGAGATGGCCAGGCATGAAGCAGACTCAGCAGGCTTCAACATCCCCAACTTCCAAGTCCTTACCCTGATTCTACTTCGCGCCCTGGGAGTTGGTACTTCCTCAGCAGCACAGCTATTGCAGCCGCTGAACCATCAGATGCCCCGTACACAACAACAGTATGATCATCTCCTGGAGCGAATGCGCAGCCATGGGCACTTGGCTGCGCGCCCCCCGGGCAACATCGGGAGCAGCTTCAGCGGACGCAGCGCTGTTACATACCACGCCGAGATAAGCGATGCACTGGCAGCCATGCCGAATAATATCTGGAATGACGGGGAGCCCACTGGGTCCACTATGCTTCTAGAACGTGACGCCATTAACAACAATGGACAAACGTCTGGCTCAAATACGGGCTGGCCGTCAGCGGCCAACTACACACCATCTGAAGCGACCACCCTCCGGGGCTCACCCAGCCACCATGACGACGATATATTCGACTCTAGTACGGACACCGATACGGTCTCCTGTACCGGTGCCGAAATCCTCGCCTGGTCAGACCTACCCCGCCGGTGATGAAGCAGCTACACAATACCTAGACCTGGTATATCATCACGCAAAAAGAAAGTGGAGACGATATATGCAGAAACCAGTGATATAGGAGGTTCAGGCGAGCTGTACTTCGTGTCTTTTTCCGTAAAGGGTCGTGGCAAGGGTGGTAGACGCACCCGCAAGTTGCATAGCAAAAGCATAGCCACTTTCCTGGCTCGATTGACCGACTACGTGTTCGAAAAATTATTCCTAGGAGGCAAAGGCAGAGGCAAAGGTCGTAGGCACACCACAGGCAAGGGCAAGGGACGCAGGCCCAATCCAATGGGTAAGGACGGAAAACGAATTACATGCAATACCTGCGGGAGCGACAAACACTTCCAAGCACAGCTTTCCAAAGCAAGTGGAAAGGGGGGCGGATCCGTACTCCTTGGCTCAGACCAGCCCGAAGCGGACATCATCGAATACGTTGATTTTCCCGAACTAGATCACCCCCTTGACTCTCAACCCAGTTCGTCTTGGTTTCGGATGGCCCACTTTGCCGACGCCGCCATGTCTGTCGAGCGGTACATGGAGTATCTCCACGACGGGATCGACGAGCTCTAAGACACCCCCATCGAGGATTGGGCCTGGCACGCGTCGGCATGGACACGTGCAGGAAGAGTCTGAATATGACGACGAGGACGATTGCATGTCAGATACGGAAACCATACCTGCCACTGACGCTGAAATAGCCGAACAGCCCGGACACGAGCAGGATCGCCCGCACCCGCTCCCAGCCCCAAAATTATTTGGGCTCCCGGAGGAGGAGCGGGATGCGGTGGGCTGGGGCCAGACCCACACCAACACATTCACGATGTGGGGCAAACCAGGTAAGGCCCAAAGTGGGTCTGGCGAACCCTACATAGGCTACAGTGGAAGCGGTCGCCGGGGCCGCAGCTCTACGCCCCCCCACGCAGTAGGCGGTTCAGGCAAGGCTGGGAAATACCGCCCGGACACGGGCGGTCCTGGTCGCAGACGCAGCCGCTCTTGCGGCGCTGGCCATTCCAAGGGCAAATGCTACGCCGATCCAGCCGAGCCCATGCACGGCTCGAGCTCCAGCGACAGGATGGGGGAAGGGGCATGCCTACTCCGGAAAGGGGCACACCTCTTCCGCGCACTACAACCAGGGCCTCCGCACGAAGATCGATGATGCAGATGTGATTTATTTTCTCGAGCAGGGCATCACAGAGGACCATTTTCGTCTTTGGTGGTCTTTGAAGCATTGCATCATTCGTGACGACAGCGGTCGCGCCATCAAAACGTCAAACCGTCCGGCCAGAGACAGCGACGAGAAGCGGGCACTCAAGCGCAAGGTTATTGATGAACGCAGGACACACCGCATGCGCCCACGCCCCCCTCACAGTCAGCATCGTGGAAGGCGCCCGACATATCGTCTATCGCGTAGCCCACATCATGGCAAGACTCCGCGGCATCCCGACCACGGTGGTGGCCCAGGTGGCGAAACGCCCACGTCCATTACAGACTACTTCTCATTGACCGATACAGAAGTACAAGAGACAGAAAAGGCACGGGATGACTTACCCAATGAAGACCCGTCGGACTGGCACGATCAAAACGGCCCTGGTGAAGACGCTGAAAACAGCGACGGCAGCGCTCTCCCCCGCCATCGCGAGCTGAGCACGACGGGGCAGATCGCTGGCAGTTCATGGGCCGAAGCTCCTGCACCCCCTCCTGGATCGACTCAAGCAGCTGACGAAAAGACAGACGAGGAGGGGGGGGAACAGCCC